CTTATTTGAGAGGGGGGGCTTATTTGAGAGGGGGGACTTAATAGAGGTTTTATGGTATGTGTCTCAGAATGGTAATCCTAACATCAAATACTTCATATTTTTATTTAGAAATCAACCTTTGTTAAAATTTCATGCCACAAGAGAAATCTGGCACCACAAGAGACAGTGAACACCTTAGGCAACTTGCAGAATATGTAGGAGAAATGGAAGTTCATTTGTTTGGATGTTTTTCCAGGTGTTCACATTATAACAACTAGACTTCCTTATAATTAAGGGGTCAGGCAACTGTGCAACTTTCCCTGTTGTGTTTTTCATGAGTTTTATTAAATTTAAATTTATTCTCTAACCGCTTTACTTCGTTTCTCTACAGAAAAACTGAGACCCCAACAGCACCTCACTATAGACTTGTATTTATCATCTGGAGGTCACAAACAAAGAAGTGAACCTCGTTATTCATTGACAACTGTAGACATTCAACCTTCATTGGCAAAGAATGGAAAGTTTGCCATATTTATTGTACCACAAGGTAAGGTGCCAGACAATTTTGTGGTAAAAAGGTAGGAAGACTGAAGGCTTCTGTCAATATGCAGTAATTGATAGTTGTAATTTAGATGCCCTACCGGATAACGTACTAAGCCAGTGATTTGCAATCTGGCCGACAAGTTTAAGATAGTTAACTAACCGATGCATCCCCAAATTCCAATTCGGTCTGTTTGTTGAATCACATTATTATTATCATCACCACCACCACCACCATCATCGTTATTAGCATTATTATCATTATCATTATCATCATCATCATCATCATCATCATCATCATCATCATCATCATCATCATCATCATCATCATCATTATCATTATCATTATCATTATCATTATCACTGTTATTGTCACTGTCATTTTCATTGTCATTGTCACGAGTACAAGTGTTATCCTCATCTTACCGTTATCGTGATCGTTACCATCGTCATTACCGTTATAATTGGGAGTTCAAGTTTAGTTTTGTTTCACAGGAAGGGAAACAGAATGGTTATTTTCGTCGAAAGATGGGCAAACAAAACTTAGCACAAATGCAGGTTTTGAGCGTGTTGTGATTGTGACTCTTGGGAGAGGACACGCCTTTACTGACATGGATGCCATTAAGGGTGAACTATCGACAAAAGTCATGGAACTTGCTCCTCGAAGACTTAGCCGTAATGCACAGGTAAATCGAATTTGATGTGAATTTGTTTTCTAGGCTGAGAGAATTTACATTGCTCTCCGGCCAGACGCGTAAAAACTGTTTGCGAAGTGTCCATTTTTTTATACCCGATGAAATGCAGGGAGGGTGGGGGCTCATAACCTGTAATGGACTGGCACGCCATCAAATGATAGCAGCCGTATTGTAGTATACTCATTAATTTATGTTAAGGGGACTTTCACTTAGGCAAGATAGGATTGAATTTGTGTCATTCTTTTATCCTGTCCCTGACGAGAAGTATCATTCTGCATCTTTCTTAATACAATATTAGGTATCGAGGAGGTTTTAGAAGATCCAAAAGGAGACAATTATTATTAATGGAGTTAAGTTATTTGCAAGTTGTTTTTCATGATATTTCTCTTTCATGTCTAAGGTACCCTTCCTCTCTATCGGCGAAGATCTTGGAAACCGTGTAGTTTTGTATGAAGGAAATTCGCAGTTAAGTGGGGACTACGTTGTTGAAGATGTCGACGGAGATGGAGGACAGAAATTTCGACGACTCATTTTTCTTAACAACAAGAATGTTGTGCAGTCAGAGGCCAGACTAGTAACAGGTAAACTTTTCTTTGGAGCAGGTTTTGATTGAGTGGTGAAACACCAAAAATGTAATTTCTGACGTGTGAGCGATATGGGAACGAATTAGTCAGAAATTTATTTATATTCTGATGGCACGTTGAAAATGTTCGTGTGGCATCATGGAAGGTTCGGATTATTCAAGCGTTTCGCGGGAAAATTAAGTCATTCTAGGTCGGTTAGCCTTATATTTGACCACTTTCTTTTTTCTTATTTGATGTAATTTTGTTTTTTCAACTCTCTGCAAAATTTCACTACATTCATTGACTTTTCTGTGTGATTAATGGTGTAATCAGGTTTGTTACTCTTTCCTCGGGTTATCGTGCTGCTGCATTAGATGATGTATACGTTTCCACATATTTTTTGGCTACTTCTAAAGAGTTGCTTTTTAGTGGTTTTTCGTATATGGCGTAGCACAGGTTCTTTTTGTAGAACCCTTCAGTTGTAGTGGACACATGTTAAGATTGTATTAGGATGCAGATACTACATGACCGGCTCACTCATCCTCAATAAACGTTTCACGTTGAATAACTCGTCTGAGTGTGGTCTGAATCCAAAGTAATCGCGACGGCTAGTGAGAATAAAGGTTATTATTAAAAACTAGATAATTGGATAATGCAATTCAAGACTTTTTATTGGCTTAGCCATTATGGTAT